CACTAAAAGGGGATCACACTCCTGAGCCTTCCTGTTAAGGTCTATTGAGGGGTTCTGGAGAGGAGGGTCCATTGGAATGTTGAACCTCAGATTCAGGAGGAGCAATGTGGTTTTCGTCCTGGCCGTGGAACACTGAACCAGCTCTATACCCTTAGGGGGATCCTGGAGGGTGCGTGGGAATTTGCGCAACCAGTCTACATGTGTTTTGTGGATTTGGAGAAGGTGTTTAACAGATCAAACAGCCACACGTCACTGGGTCTTCCACTCATTACACACTTGCATATTTGGCAACAGAACACCACTGGTGTGAGAGGTTCTCCGCTCAATAACATCAGAGAAGGAGAAACAGCCGGCTGCTACCACGTCAACTTTAGGACAAACTACCAGAGTCCCAAAAAGAAAAACACCATTTGAAGTCACGGACAACAAAATATGTTTCAATTCAATTCAATTCAATTCAAAAGTACTTTATTAATCCCAGAGGTTAATTCAATTGTTTCAGTACACACAATTCCAAGATCAGACATACATACATAGACACATGACAAGAATTGGTGACAGTGATCATTCGCAACACGAGTCACGCTACCGTTATCTATCAAGAAGGTTTATATGAGGATAGAGTCAGGGGGAGGGAAAAAAGGCACTTCAGGGTTACCCCTTACAGAGAGGATAGCTTTGCTATGCAAAAAAACACCTCAGACAGATATGCAAACAGACTTCAGACGATACACAACATAAGTGTCCACTAGGTGGGGAGGTAGGTTGGGACTGTCCTCACTTCAGAGATTGCAGCCACAATAGCAGCGCTCATCACCTCCATTTGGGCAGGGGAGGGAGATATTTGGGTTAGAGAGCACATTGACTCCTAGATGCGGTTCCACGGCCTTCACCGGTCACAGTCCCGCCCAGACTGGGATAGGGAGAAAGGGTTTCCATAGCAGCAACAACATTCCACATTTCTTCTGAGGGAAGTTTTCACTTCAGCCTCACAGGCTTCAAGGGCACCAGATTCAGATAACAAGAATTGTTTTGGGTACAGGCAGAGATAATTTCCTCTCTGCCTTATATTTCTGTTGGATCTTCAACCCCTCCAGGTCCAATAATGGCATTATCAATCTATTCCAATTCGTGCTGATCCGTCAACTCTCTCCTTGATCGAATCAACCTTCTGTGCCAGAGCCTGAATTTCAGCCAAAGTTCCAAGCTTACGACTCATCTCGACAATTATATGAGTTTGTGAGTTTACAGCACGATGCATTCCATCCCTGAGCTCCGGGATTAAGCCAACATTCCTCGAAAGCTCGTTAATTTTCTGGTAAGCCAGGTAACCGCTCAGGCCAAACGGCAGGAATCCCGACACCAAGATGACGAATATCCAGACATCTTCAGAATCCTCTACGGACAGGTGAGAGAGGCAGACCAAGTTCCACTATTTCCAGGAGTCCGTGATATACCCAGGTGGCTCTGTCACAGAGGGGCATCAAGGAGCCCGTTCTCATCGTTGAAAAAAATTTGTCAATCGTGCTGAGAGACCAACTGACAAAATCCATGTTTAATTTCCAGTTTCCAGAAAAAAATGCAGAGACGCACAGTGCACAGGCAGACAGGACAAAAAGCCTTGGGAAGAGCAGGGAGGGAGAGGAGAAAAAAGCGTTTGTACTCTCCAAGAGCCAGAAGAAGAAGCGCTATCTGTTTTCGTCCAGCATCAAAGGATTCCAGTTCCGGCAGAATCATCTCAGGGAAGATACCCAAGGGAAGGGGTGAGTGTTCCATAACCGTGATTGCGTTCAAAACCTAGCTTGTTCTGTATATTTGCTTTAATACACATGAACAAATGTGTTCACTGCCCCTGATGGAGCATTTAAGAACTGCAGATGCAACTGCACATTTCTTTATCAATATGACTACATGATATAATAAAATATAAATAGATTTTTCCCACTGATGTATTGCTACCAAATCTATGTAGGCCTTCAGGGGAAGAAGACGTTGGTATCTCGTGTATACCAGAAACCATCTCGTGCACACAATAAACATTTCTTTGGTTTGTTTTTAAAGGTGTGATATCATAATATTTTAAACATTTGAGAGCAAAGGTAGGCACAGTACAGGGAGTGCAGAATTATTAGGCAAATGAGTATTTTGTCTACATCATCCTCTTCATGCATGTTGTCTTACTCCAAGCTGTATAGGCTCGAAAGCCTACTACCAATTAAGCATATTAGGTGATGTGCATCTCTGTAATGAGAAGGGGTGTGGTCTAATGACATCAACACCCTATATCAGGTGTGCATAATTATTAGGAAACTTCCTTTCCTTTGGCAAAATGGGTCAAAAGAAGGACTTGACAGGCTCAGAAAAGTCAAAAATAGTGAGATATCTTGCAGAGGCATGCAGCAGTGTTAAAACTGCAAAGCTTCTGAAGCGTGATCATCGAACAATCAAGCGTTTCATTCAAAATAGTCAACAGGGTCGCAAGAAGCGTGTGGACAAACCAAGGCGCAAAATAACTGCTATGAACTGAGAAAAGTCAAGCGTGCAGCTGCCAAGATGCCACTTGCCACCAGTTTGGCCATATTTCAGAGCTGCAACATCACTGGAGTGCCCAAAAGCACAAGGTGTGCAATACTCAGAGACATGGCCAAGGTAAGAAAGGCTGAAAGACGACCACCACTGAACAAGACACACAAGCTGAAATGTCAAGACTGGGCCAAGAAATACCTCAAGACTGATTTTTCTAAGGTTTTATGGACTGATGAAATGAGAGTGAGTCTTGATGGGCCAGATGGATGGGCCCGTGGCTGGATTGGTAAAGGGCAGAGAGCTCCAGTCCCACTCAGACGCCAGCAAGGTGGAGGTGGAGTACTGGTTTGGGCTGGTATCATCAAAGATCAGCTTGTGGGGCCTTTTCGGGTTGAGGATGGAGTCAAGCTCAACTCCCAGTCCTACTGCCAGTTTCTGGAAGACACCTTCTTCAAGCAGTGGTACAGGAAGAAGTCTGCATCCTTCAAGAAAAACATGATTTTCATGCAGGACAATGCTCCATCACACGTGTCCAAGTAATCCACAGCGTGGCTGGCAAGAAAGAGTATAAAAGAAGACAAACTAATGACATGGCCTCCTTGTTCACCTGATCTGAACCCCATTGAGAACCTATGGTCCATCATCAAGTGTGAGATTTACAAGGAGGGAAAACAGTACATCTCTCTGAACAGTGTCTGGGAGGCTGTGGTTGCGGCTGCCCGCAATGTTGATGGTGAACAGATCAAAACACTGACAGAATCCATGGATGGCAGGCTTTTGAGTGTCCTTGCAAAGAAAGGTGGCTATATTGGTCGCTTATTTGTTGTTGTGTTGTTTTTGAATGTCAGAAATGTATATTTGGGAATGTGGAGATGTTATATTGGTTTCACTGGTAAAAATAAATAATTGAAATGGGTAATATTTGTTTTTTGTTAGGTTGCCTAATAATTATGCACAGTAATAGTCACCTGCACACAGATATCCCCCTAAAATAGCTAAAACTACAAACAAACTAAAAACTACTTCCAAAAAAATTCAGCTTTGATATTAATGAGTTTTTTGGGTTCATTGAGAACATGGTTGTTGTTCAATAATAACATTATTCCTCAAAAATACAACTTGTCTAATAATTCTGCATTCCCTGTATATGATAAAATATTACCATTGGCACTATAGAGATGTCATTTACCTTAAATACAGGTTATTTTCATCAGCGTGAATTTATACTGGAAAATCAAACGCTTTATCTTAGTGAAACTCTGCCCATGCACGCTCCGACAAAACGTGTCTATCAAAGCATCTTAGGTGAGTTAATTGCTGTGGCTAAGATAGTCCAGAGGTTAAGATGTCTGCCTGCCAACTCAGTTTTGCCATGTGCTGACGTGCGTTCAAATCCTGGTGTCGACACTAATTTATTTAGCCAGCTGAAGCAGATTTCACATTTACTATATATATATATATATATATATATATATATATATATATATATATATATATATATATATATATATATATATATATATATATATATATACTCAGCTCACATAAGACTCACACTGGCTAAAGAAATAAATATTGGTCCTTATATTTTAAACTGTTTAAACAGCACATCCTGAGCTAGCCTTAGGAGGCGGGATTCAAAACCCATATTGGATTCAGAGGGGGGACCAGGGCCTAGTGTCGGGAGCCGGAAGATGGAGTGACGTGCAAATATGACATTGATCTGTTTTCATGAATTTCAAAGTAAAACTCTAAATTTGCAGCTGAAACAGGAAAAAGGATAAATGCAGCCAAAAACAGATTTAGGGGTATTTTTCATGAGGAAATAAAAATATCACATCCTAAAAAGCTACAAAAAGTGGATTTTCCATGATATGGCCCCTTTTAACTAATGTTTCTTTGGCAGCTAAGTGCAAACCAAATAAAATTTTCACTTATAAAATATAGTTCTCATTTGTTTAACGAGTAAAAAAAAATGTTTTAATTCTAAAACAAGCTCAATGCCTTTTAACCTGTATAAAGAAATGCATAAAATCCAAACACTTCAAAGGATTACAGCTACATACTAAAATCACTTCCCACCCACATGATCAGTATAACTGAAAACTTGACCAAATCTCTAGTCTTTTTTTTTTTTTTTCCCTTTTCAGCTTCACAAGACAGCCGCTCCAGACATGAAAGAACAGAAAAACCCACAAACAACACGCACTAAAGAGTTTATGATGAGGACTCAAGCTACGAGCTACAGGGCCCCTAACAGCCAGTCTGCATGCTTGCATGTGCATGCACTGCAAGCTCCGTGCATTTCAGTGCAGACTAAAACATTTTAACATATATTTATTTTTTTCTGCATTACACATTCACCGGCTGATCCATTTCTCCCACAGCTGCTTCAAGGAGGCTTATCATCTTCCTCCTTTTAAGCACGTAGCTGTCATTCTGTACAGAGGAGGTCCCGGTAGTGTTGGAAGTACCTGTTCTGTTTTGCAGAGCCTGACTTTACTCCCCACCAGGGACGCCAGCACTCTGCCTTTGTAACCACGGAGCTCCAGCAAGCCTCGCTTGTTTGCGGAAGAGAGGAGGAGTAGGTTGTCGGAGCACTTCTGGGAGCTGCAGGCAGGGGGGTGCGTGGCCGTCTGAAGAATTTCCATCCACTCCTGGCGCTCCCCTGTGGACACGTGCATGAGTAAAAAACAGAAAAAGAGAAGCAGATGGCAGACGAATATACGTGTGTGAACGTGTGTAAAGGAGTGAGGGGGTAAGGAATCAAACACAGCCAGAGTGGAGGGATCAGGGCATCCTTAAGTCTTTGAATCAGAGTGTTAATTTACCACTTTTGCGTGTCTTCAGTGGGTTTTATTGGATCTTTGGGAGCCAAAGCGCAACTGAATACTGAGACAGAAAATTCTACCCTGAACAAGCAGTAATTGAAACACAGGGTGAGGTGTGATTGGTGAAAATTAAGTTAGCCTTTGGTGAGAGAAACCCCGTAAAGATGAGAGTGACAAGTCTAGCACACACAGATATTAACATTTGCTTCTCTTGGAGTGAGACATTCGGTAGCATGAGATGAGGACATGAAGAGATCACTTAACATCTATATTCTTTACAATAGAAACTGGCCACTGCTGCGTTTGCATGCAGATTTGTATTATGTTTATTACAGGAGTGTATCTGTGTTTCTGGTTTGATCAAAACAAAACGGTTCCTCTTGCCTACTGCTATGTTATGCATGTTAAACTCAAATGTGTTGTATTTATTATGTTATTACTTATAATGGGGCCTTTATAACACTTCTACTGCGGTTTTGTGTCGGCGCCGACACAAAACAGCTTCCATACTGTGAACTACCGTAACTCTTCAACCGTTTAAGCAATCAACGTAATTCTAATGGATTCTGAAAGCTGAGCTGCTACGCTTTCCAGTGGTATACAACACATTACGGTAATGTTATGCAAGTCCCTGCCCAAGAACTAGGAAACGATCACACTTCCTCGAGGAGCGGTAGTGCGTTTGACTGGTTTTTAAGTCAATTAGATACAAGATCAATTTTTTTGCCTTCTTTAAATACAGAAATCTAAATATTGATATCTTGTATTTGTACTCTAAAGTCTGATTAACAAAAAATGTTGGAGAATTTCTAACTGAAAGTGCTGAAGTTCTTATCCCATCCTAACTTCTAAATAAAATATGGCTGCCTTAGGCAACAGGCACACTGGTTGCAGAGTCACTTGCAACTTTGTTGGGTAAACCTTTCTAGTACCAGGATGGACACTTTGGTCTTCAGAACTGCTTTAATCATTTACAAGATGTTGGGAACCATGCTCAAAGGTTCTGGTCCATGTTGACATGACACCATCACACAGTTCCATCTAGGATAAGAATCTCCTGTTGCACCATATCCCAAAGGTTCCAGACTGGATTGAGATCTGGTGACTGTGGAAGTCACTGGAGTCCAGTGAACTCATAAGTATGTTCTAGAAACCAGTCTGAGATGATTGGAGATTTATGACATGGTGCTTCATCCTGCTGGAAGTAGCCATCAGAAGATGGGTCCATGTGGACATAAAGGGATGGACATGGTAAGCAACACCACTCAGGTAGGCTGTGGGGTTTAAACCAGGCTGCAGTGGTACTGCAGGGTCCAAAGTGGGACAAGAACATCTCCCACCAGCAGCAGCAGCAGCCTGGAGCGTTAACACAAGAATAAAATGGATCATAAGAACAAGAAAAGTCTCTCCAGTATCTGCTGGTCCAGTTCTGGTGACCCCGTGTGAAATGTAGTCTCAGTTTCCTGTTCTTATCTGACACCTGGTGTGGTCTTCTGCTGCTAGAGTCCATCTGGTTCCAGGTTAACATGTTCTGTTCTGCAGACCTTGGCTGTAATAATCCATCATGTAGAGCCAGCCTGACCCCTCAATTGCAGCTCAACGGATACGTTCTCTACTTGGAGGTGAAATGTCTTCAAGCAACAAGATTAATCCAGTTGGCTTTCTAACGTTTTTACTCTTAAGACTGCGAAGAATGAGAAAATCTATCCAACACATGAAATACACAAACCAACCGAAAAACCATCATAACCTCCCTTCAAAGTCACTAAAATCTCCTTTTTGTCCACTCTAATGCTCCGTTTTATTTTCTGCTAATTGTCTTTTAACACATCTAGAAGCTTCGATGCATTCGGTTGCTACCTTGTGGTTGGCTGATTAGCTGTTTGGGTTGACGAGCAATTTAATAGGCATATTTTTGAAAGTAGCTGCTGAGTAAATAGCAGGATGGTCAGAATTGGTAAATGGAAGTTCAAACACACTGGATGTCCTTGAGTCTATCCCACTGTTACGTCCACAGATCACTGCTCAGCTAAATAGCCCCAACGTAGCACCATGCATCAAGTTCCAGCCAGGGTTTTACATTCAAACCGTGTACACACAGAAGGCCTGTCAGACATCTTCCTCTGCAACTTTTCAAACGGACTTAAAAAAAAAGACACAAAGCCGACATTGTAAAGCCCATTCCCCTCCCGCCCGAGACACCGAGCTATCAAAGCCAGCAAAGTGGAAACACAAGAATTACCAAAGGATTGCAAACACACAAGCACACACAGACTAACATCACAGGTCCAAAGCTGAGCCCACTGGGGCAGCTGTTCAACAGAAGCCAGAAAAACAAAATCAAATAAAATCTGCAAACTGATATCAAAGTCTGAGATCAACCGGGAAGCTCTTGCAAATTTGAGAACGTCAACAGAGCCTCTTTTTACTTCAGTTTATTTTTTCCTCTTTCTTGTGGTAAAAGAAAATTTCAAACTTTTAAAGTTGTTTAAAAAAAGTCAATGGTTTACAGTCTAAAATCTACACATCAAGTCATCATCCATAAAACAAACACCAGCACTCTGACAGAATGACAGCTCCTCATCTGGAAAGTAAAGAATCAACATTCGTGTGGTCGCAGAGGGAATCAAACACCTCGTCTCAAGATGTGTATTTTTAGATATTCATGAATTTGAGCAAACGACACGATGGAGGACCCTGCTACTGATCTCCAAACAAAGAACTGATGTCTGTTTTTTTATTTTAAAAGTTCTCATCACGTCATAGTGATTTTTAGTTTAAGTAAATTGCTTCTCTGCCTGTTTGAAATATCAAATAGTACGCTCATTATGTGCCTGTTCTTTGGCACACAATGAATCATGCCACCAAAATTAATTAAGTGATTACCGTGCGGGAAAACATCAAGAAATGTTTGGAAGAGGTTAAGAAACCACACCGCTGAAGCACATCAGTGTGAAAACAGACGGAATATAGTTTATTGATCTCAGTGATAGAAAAATGTGGCTTTTCACTTTATTCCTGCAGCTTATTTAAGAACAGAAGCTGATGGGAACTCAGCGTTTTCTTTAAGGCGCCACTAGGCAAAAATAAACCCAGTGAAGAAGAACAACAAGTACTGGACCGGGTAAGAAGAAGAGACAAGCTGACATCTCATTGTGTGGATGACAAACCTAATGTAAAACAGGGATTAGAGTCATATTTTTGCATACTTCCTTCAACTATCACCTCTGCGTGCCTTTCAGTGTCTAAATAACAGGGATTATATACGACATCCTTCCCCTCTTCCATGTGATGCTCTGTTCGCCGCATCATCTTAAGTCAGCATCAGCCTCCGCCGCAGTGTGGCCACGTATAAGAATCACGTTTTATAACTTGTGTCACATCTCCAGCATCAGGAACTACAGCAATGAGTGGGAAAAAACTGCAGAGTAGGCAGGACTTGGCACCAAAAATAATAAGGACAAAAAATAAAAAGACAGCAGTGTTTTCATGGCCTGTGGGAAACAGTTTTATGAATACAAAGCAAAGGAAAGTTCAAAGGAGAACCTCATTGTGTATAAAAAAAAAGGGGAGATCTACACTTATAGAAAAAAAGACATCACAGTGGGGGGTTGTGTATGTCTGCTGGAAAGGATGAGAATAAAGTCACTCCTAACAAAGAAGCGGCTCAGCATCATGCAGCGTTGATGAACATCGCTCTCAAAAGATTTTTTTCCCAACAATTTCTAAATGAATGGCTGTAAACCAGATTAGATAATCCGCCTACACTAATGTGTGAAAATAACTGTGTTTTTGATACAGATACACAATATTTGGTCTAATTATTTATGAAACAATTAACATCTTGCTTGTAGACGACTCAGAGAGCAATCTCAGTTTGAGGAATTTGGATTGAAGACAAAGTAAGCCTTTCTACATATGTCAATAGTATGGCATCAAACCACTGACACAACCCAAGTGTGGGGCAAACTCTATAGTTGTCTTTCAAACGGTCTCCAGAGCTAGGACCATTCAGGGCAACGGACAACATCACGTACTCATCGCTTCAGTCAACGCAAGTTTCAGTCAGTAGTGCTAGCTGAAGTGCAACACAGTAAAACTTCCATGGGAATTCAGTACATCTCTCGGTATCAAACGTGCTTTACAGAAAAATCTGAATATGTACGGACATGGCGTTACGCCCCTAGTAGACTATTAAGTTTTTGCTGCTAAAGGTGTTTCTACATGCTGATGGGTCATAAGGTGGATTAGGTTTCTCACACATAACCTTTTCCTTTAAGCTTCATTGTTGTTTAACCATAGAAAGAACTGTGGCATTGTGTAATCTGGTATGTCTGTTGTACACTTGAGTTGATATCTGAAAAACGTTATAACCTAGTAAAGATTGAATTATATGTGTGTGTACAGTCTTCTCAGAGGACTAGTGGTAGTGTCTGTCCTGGGACTGGGAGATCAGGGTTCAAGTCCCAGTCGAGTCATACCAAAGTCTTTAGAAATGGGATCCAATGCCTTCCTGCTCTACACTCAGCTTTAAGGGGTTGGGTTGCGGGGTTAAACCACCAAATGGTTCCCGAGCGCAGCCACTGCTGCAGCTCACTGCTCCCCACGGGGATGGGGCAAATGCGGAGATGAATTTCACCAATGTGTGATGACTAATGGGACTTTAACTTCACATTCTGTATTCTATCAGTCCCTAGTCAAGTTTCAATTTGGGACACAGACATTTCTGGTTTTCTTTATCTATTTTTTTATGCATACAAATAAAAAAATAAACCATCTCAGAACACTTGACATTTTATCATTTGCCAGAAAGACAGGGGCCGTTGTTTTTCTCCCT